TCCTCTTACTCATGGATTCAGCTTTTATAGTTTCTCTATCTAATGAATATTCAATTAAGGTGGTGGATCCTAGTTATGTAACATTTAGTCTTGCACATGCTCAGTTGGTCTCTTCCTGGGGCAAGTTCATTATCAGACCCTATCACATGAACCAGGCACATTCAAGAATATTCTGTGCTCTCTATTGAGCACACCCAGCCACTGGATTTGCATAAGCCAGCCCCTTGTTGTCTCATTTTCACTATGTTCATAAGAAAAATTGGTCTAACTGGCAACAGTGCTCCAGAGAAGAGCTCAGAGGAGGGGGCTTGAGACCTCAGGGAGTGGTTGGAAACCCAGAGGCCTATCCTGAAACCTGAATCCAGGGAAACTGAGCACATCCTATTTCTCTCCCAATTTTTGTAAATCAATTTTCCTAAGAGTTCTGAGAAATAATTTTTATTAACTCTATTTATCGGATGATATAGTATCCAAAGTTTCATAACATTGGACACTGCGANTTATTAACTCTATTTATCGGATGATATAGTATCCAAAGTTTCATAACATTGGACACTGCGAAAACAAAATAAAAAATGATAAACACAAAACAAAAAAAAAATGAAAAAGATTTCATACACAAATATAGAATTCCCGTTCTGTATATTCAGTTGCAATGATGTTATCTTCATTAAAAAATAACATAAATTCTATTTTGAAAGAAAACGTAGTTTCCATAGAGAATACTGAAATAGAATAGGCTCTATGCATTCTTCGTTAGACTTGTGAAGGTTCTACAGCAAGCTAAACATGTGTGTATTGATAGTGCAACTACTCATATCCACTTAAAACATTAAAGTTTGAAGAAAGACAAAGAAGCAGGGTGCACATTATGAAATATATTCAGTATGCTCTTTTGAACTTAAGACACACAAAGATAAGTGAAACATAAAACAATCTCTCATAACTCTCTGGTTCCATCTCTTTTGTCCATTGTAGCTGCAGCTTGCTTAGTAAGCCCTCCCCAGACTCCACTTTGGAATTCTGAGTCTTGCTAACAACATCTTCTCTAAGAATATAATTTGGATCCAACCACATTTCTGAGAGCTTCTTTCACATCCTTGTTTCTCAGGCTATAGATCAGGGGGTTCAGCATGGGAATCACGATGGTGTAGAACACTGTGGCCACTTTGTTGGCATCCCCACCATTTCCTGAACTGGGACGGCAATAAATATAAAGGATTGTTCCATGGAAGACAACGATGGCTGTGAGGTGGGAGGCACAGGTGGAAAAAGCTTTGTGTCTTCCCTTTGCAGAGCACATCCTCAGGGTGATGAGAATAAACAAGTAGGAGGTGAGGATGATCACAATGGTCACAGTCTCATTGAAAGTGGCCACAATGAAAAGAAGGACCTTGTTCATGGTAACATCTGAGCAAGCAAGATTTAAGAGAGGGGGGAGATCACAGAAGAAGTGGTTAATCACATTTGATGTATACGATGGGATCTCAAGAGCTAAGCACAAATGAATCAGAGAACACACCAATCCACACAGGTAGGAGCAAGATGCCAGCTCTACACAGAGCTTCTGGGACATGGAGACCATGTAGAGCAGTGGGTTACAGATGGCCACA